GTACCCATCCCAAACGTTGCACACATCCACTCGTTGTGTTTGTAGTACGCCATCCCTCCTCCCCTCCCACCTGCCCGAACACCGAGAATTTATTCCTATCTGTCCACTGAGGCTGTTGATCATTAATCCAATGCTGCGTGAGCACATGTGGTGGCTTGTTTCCATACCTTGGACACTTCACTTAGTAGAATGGATTCCAGCTCTAATCCAGGAAAATACAAAGAGTGCTAGATCACCGTTGTTTTATAGCTGAATAGTACTCCATGGTATAACCATATACAATTTATAATCCACTCTAGTATTGATGGCACCTGGTTGTTTCCACAGCTGTTCGCAATGTGAAATTGGTGCTGCTACAAACATTCAAGTGCAGGTTCTTTGTAGGTGGTCATTTGATCTTTGGGTAGATCCCAGTAGGGAATTGCTTGGATAAATGGGTGACAGCCACTTGTATGGGTTTAAGTATCTCCATATTGCCTCAGGATTTCTAAGTTTGCGCAATAGAAAACCTTCCCTGAATAAGACTCCCATAGAATAAGCCTACAGGAATGTCTAGCATGTTGGCAATAGACAGGCCCCACCGAAAATCAGCCCAGTGAGGCGTGGCCATGAAAATCAGTCCTAGTGATGGGCGTGGCTATGAAATAAGCCCTAGTGATGGCGTGGCAGTGAAATACAAGCCTGGTGCATGGGATGGTGGCTATGAAAAATCAGTCTATGATGTGCGTGGCTATGAAAATCAGCCCAGTGGTGGGCGCGTGCTATGGAAAAATCAGTGCGTGATGGCGTGGTATGAAATCAGCCCTAGTGTGGCGGTGCTGCGCAGCGCATCTGCCACAACTCATGCGTGTGTTGGCGGAGCGGGGAAGAACACAGCAGGCCTTCTCATCCGCCTGCCGTGAGAGCTAGTGCTCCACGAGAGATCGGTGCATGGTTTCTAAAGAAACAGAGTCCGCAAGACATCAGTTGGGATTCGGGGTTTGAGAAGTGAGGATGATGTTCGAGAAGAAGAACGACTTCACTCTATTGTGACCAAGGAGAGGTGCGCGCACTACGAAATAACACACCCTGTGACCTAGGGTGCTTTCTGAGGAAAAGAAAACAGACCCTGTTTATTTTTGGGAAAACGGATAACATACTTGCGGTCTGCTGAAAGGTAGACTTCAATATTCCACAGGTAGGTCTAGAAAGCCACCTATCCACTAACAGGCAACCAAAGAGGAGTTAAGAGGCTCACAGAGGAAATTGCAGTGCCAGTGAATTTTAAGGTATGAATTGGATATTTCCAGATGATAAAAATAACAAAAGAATTCTGCTCCCAGAAGATTGGGCTAGGCCGGGCGTGGTGGCTCACGCCTGTAATCCCTAGCACTCTGGAGGCAATGGTGGGTGGACATTTGGAGCTCAGGAGTTTGAACCAGCCTTGAGCAAGAGAGCAAGACCCCGTCTGGGGTACTAAAAATAGAATTAATTGCCACTGCACTCTACCCCGCACAGAGTGAGTCTCCGTCTCAAAACAAAAAAAAAAAAAACAAGATTCGGGCTGATTTGAAGAAAATTATGTTATTTTTAAAAAGATATAACACTTCCACGAAATGAAAAATATATTCCATTGTCTGAACTAAAAATCCGTCAGTCTCCGGTTAAACAGGCAGGTTAAACCACGGCTAAGGAGAGAATTTTGAACCTGAAAAATAGGGTTGAGGAATTATCCAGAAGGGCAGGCAGAGAGCGATGAAGGGAGAAGAAAGAGACCCAACTGAATCTAGAACAACAATATTTACAGGATCAGATGGCGGCGCGGGTGGCCCACGCCTGTAATCCCAGCACTTTGGAGGCCCAGGCGGAGGATCGCTCAAGTCAGAGTTCGAAACCAGCCTGAGCGGAGACCCCGTCTCTACCAAAATAGAAATAAATTAATTGACCAACTAAAGTATATATACAAATTAGCCGCATGGTGGTGCAATGCCTGTAGTCCCAGCTACTGGGAGCTGAGGCAGGAGGATCGCTGAGGCCCACGAGTTGGATGTTGCTGGTGAGCGAGGCTGACGCCACGCACTCACTCTAGCCTGGGCAACAGAAGTGAGACTCTGTCTTCAAAAAAAAAAAAAAAAAAAAGAAAGCATGTGTAGATAAAATGGTCAGTTTCTACAGAAACTGTCTACCTCATTTTGCATCCTTTGTTCAATTCAGGACACCTGTTGAAATGAGACGTTAGACATCTATACAGTTTAATTTGATCTCAGATTGAGAAAGTAAAGCCAAAAATGCTGCTAATTAAGATATTTTCTTTTTTCTTTTTCCACCATATGTGTCTAGATACGGATATTTTCTATTTACCTTCTTAGGATTTCATTATGTTTGAATATCTGATTTATGTCTCTTTGAGTCTAGAAAATATTCTTGGTTAAACAGCAGGTTAAACACGGCTAAGGAGAGAATTTGTGAACTGAAAAATAGGTTTGAGGAATTATCCAGAAGGCAGCAGAGAGCGATGAGGGAGGAAGAAAGAGCCCAAACTGAATCCTAGAACAACAACATTTAAGGATCAGACTGGGCCAGGCGCAGTGGCTCACGCCTGTAATCCCAGCACTTTGGGAGGCCCAGGCGGGAGGATCGCTTGAATCAGGAGTCCAAGGATCTGACTAAAGAAAAGGGACACACAAGGGAGCCTGGAAAACAGTCAGGAGTATAAAAAGAAAAGCATGTGGTAGATAAAAGGTCCCAGTTTCTACAGAAACTGTCTACCTCATTTTTGCATCCTTTGTTCAATTCAGACACCTGTTAAATGAATGACGTTAGATATTATACAGTTTAATTTGATCTCAGGAATGAGAAAAGTAAAGCCAAAAAATGTGTAATTAAGATATTTTCTTTTTTCTTTTTTCCACCATGATGTGTCTAGATACGGATATTTCTATTTACCTTTCTTAGGATTCATTATGTTTGAATATCTGGATTTATGTCTTTCTTTGAGTCTAGAAAATTCTTAGCTGTTCCATTTTAAAATCTTACATTTTGCACATCCTTTCATCCTGGAATGCCTATGACACATATGTGGAGGTTTTTCATTCTTTCCTCTATGTCTCGTAATTTATTTTTCGTCTAAAAATTATTTCTGAAAAATTGTATCTTTCATTTCTAGAAGTATTATCTCTTTGTAAAAAATAATTGCTTTAGAAATCAGCCCAGTTTTCTGGGAGTTATATTCTTTTACTTTGTGTTTTCTTTCTTCCTTGAAGTCTTTTTTGTTTTTGTTTTTTTTTTGTGTTTTTTTTTTGAGTCAGTCTCACTGTGTTGCCCGGGCTAGAGTGCCGTGGCATCAGCCTCGCTCACAGCAACCTCCAACTCCTGGGCTCAAGCGATCCTCCTGCCTCAGCCTCCCGAGTAGCTGGGACTACAGGCATGCGCCACCATGCCCGGCTAAATTTTTTTATTTCTATATATATATTAGTTGGCCAAATAATTTCTTTCTATTTATAGCAGAGATGGGGTCTGGCTCTTGCTCAGGCTGGTCTCGAACTCCTGACCTTGAGCGATCTGCACACCTCGGCCTCCCACAGTGCTAGGATGACAGGCGTGAGCCACCAGGCTGGCCTCAGTAGGCTTTATAACGCCTAGGGCAGCAGTCCTGAGATGCTGATTTGTTTTTTTTTCCTGTCTCCTTGTTCATGGATCCATTTGGGCTTGGACGTGTTGCTCTCTTGGCACGCCCCAGGGCGAAGTGAGTTCTCCCCAGACTTGATCGGGGGGGAGGGTCTCATCGTCCCCCCCTGGTCCCCTCTTGTCCCCAACACTGCAGGGGCAAGCTTGGCTGGCTCCTTGGCTCGGTTCTGACTTCTGCCCGTTCCCCTTTCTGCAGCATCATCATGACCGTCTCGTCCACACTCCTGGCCCTGGTCCTCATGCCCTTGTGCCTGTGGATCTACAGCCGGGCCTGGATCGACACCCCCGTGGTGCAGTTGCTGCCCCTGGGGACCGTGATCTTGACCCTCTGCAGCACCCTCATCCCCATCGGGCTGGGCGTTTTCATCCGCTACAGGTACAGCCGGGTGGCGGACTACATCGTGAAGGTGAGGCCCCTCTTGCCTTTGCACCCCGGCTTAGCGAGTCCCTCTGGTCCCCAGCTCAGCTGCTTGCAAGTTTGGGGGAAGAGAGGAAGGCAAGAAAAGGGCTTGGCAGTACTTGCATGCATAAACTTTAAAAATAAAAAAGTAAAAAAAAGGTTTATGCAACAAAGATCTTTTCCACCTTTTGGGATTCCTACAATGATAGCTTGTTTAAGTAAAACATAGCTTGCTGAAAACCAGTGTTAAGAGAAGTGTCAGTACTCACTGGGAATAAACAGGTCAGGGGGCGCAGGGGGGAGGAGGGCAGTCCAGTTAAATAGCAACTGTATTTTCCACTAACTGTATATTATTAGTAAAAAAATCAGAGCAAACTCAATACAATGATTTTAATAGAATGTGTGCAGTATTTTAGAAATGCATGGCTGTAGTTTCAAAAGTGGAACTCTAATTCTGAGAAACCCTGTTAGTAGGTTCCTTAATTAATTATTAAAAAATTTAAGCTGATAATTTAATTTAAACTGATAATAATTTAAATTTAATTTAATTTAAATTTAATTTATTTTAATTTAATTTAAATTTAATTTAAATTTAATAATAATAATTTAATTTAAATGTAAGCTGATAACTAATAATTATGACTGAAAGTAATTGGAAAGTTTACATTGTAGCAATATAATAGAATATACAAAATATATAGTATTTTCTATTATATGATATAAATACACAAAATATACAATATTATACAATAGAATACACAAAAATATTGGCTTTAAAGGACAAAATTGGAAAAAAAAAAGCACAAAATAAAATTGGGTCCTGGATAAATATTGTAGATTATATTGCCTTTCCTAAATTCGTGTGTTTCTTTTTTCTCTTCCCCATTGCAATATTTTATGTGGTTTGGAAAGCTAGTGAATTGATGAGGGATTTCTATTATTTATGCAATATTTCCAATATTGCTTTAATCTTTGTAAATTAAGCTTTCTTTGAAAACTCCAAAACAGTAGTGAAAATGTATATACAACGATCAGGATGTTCATTGTAAGAAGCTAACCAAATACATTAACTATTACTGTTAAATGCACAGGCAAATTCTTTTAGACAAATGAAGAGAAAAAGAGCTGCTACAATGTCTCAATTATGAAGATTTAGGAAGGCATAATCTCTTGTGTTTTACTTGTATTAATTTATTGTCTAAAGTAATCTGATTATACAGAGAAGCCAACTTTGATTACTATGAAATGCAGAGGGTTATTTTCTATACATATATCCTGCCCTGAGTAAAAGATTTTTATCTTGCTCCAGAATAAACATGTATATGCGAAAATTATATAATCTATCCATAGATAATCTTAAGATGCATTAAGAACTTATGTAAGCATACTTTTTAAGCTAGCATTATTAATGTGATGGCATTTACTATAAAACCTTAGGAATTCTACGAGAAAATCAATCAAATGAGCTATTTACACACTGAAAATAGAAGAAATATATTCATTAGGCAAGTCAATTAGATTGGCTACCTTTGAATTAAAGGCAAACTTATCCCTATTCTTTAATTAGCCCACTATTAAGATAGAGTTTATGGAGTTGTTATACTTTTGCAAACAGTTTATTTTTATTTAATTAATTAATTTATTTATTTTTGAGACAGAGTCTCACTCTGTTCCCAGGGCTAGAGTGCCATGGCTTCAGCCTAGCTCACAGCAACCTCCAACTCCTGGGCTCAAGCGATCCTCCTGCCTCAGCCTCCCTAGTAGCTGGGACTACAGGCATGCGCCACCATGCCCGGCTCATTTTTTCTATATATTTTTAGTTGGCCAATTAATGTCTTTCTATTTTTTTTGTAATTATCAGTGCTATTATAATTTTTTTTTTTTTTTTGAGACAGAGTCTCACTTTGTTGCCCAGGCTAGAGTGAGTGCCGTGGCCTCAACCTCGCTCACAGCAACCTCAAACTCCTGGGCTCAAGCGATCCTCCTGCCTCAGCCTCCCTAGTAGCTGGGGCTACAGGCATGTGCCACCATGGCTCATTTTTCCTATATATTTTTAGTTGTCCAGTTAATTTCTTTCTATTTTTAGTAGAGACGTGGTCTCGCTCTTACTCAGGCTGGTTTCAAACTCCTGATGACCTTGAGCAATCCTCCTGCCTCGGCCTCCGAGAGTGCTAGGATGACAGGCGTGAGCCACCGCACCTGGCTTAAGTGCCCTATTTTTAAGGGGCACATTCACAAATTAAACGCATGCTCAGGACAGTCAGAACACCAAAGCAAAGCTGTATGGTGGGGGCTGAAAGTCTGGGGGCAATCTGCCTGGAAAAGAGTAGCCTTCCCTTAATAACTGGTTTTTAAACTTCTAGAGAGCTCTTTGTCAGCTGCTTTCTGTCGTTCCGGAGGGCCTGTATCCAGGTCAGTGGCTAGAGATGCTAGAAGGCAAATTGTCAGACACAAGGGCAGGCCTCCACACAATAGAGGTCTGCCTGCCTCCAAATAAGGGGCCTCCCGTCTTCAGAAATACTCTGTCCAAGATCTGCATTGCGTGTTGGGTGTCAGGCTAGATGGGCATTTTCTTCCAAGAGCTTAGGGTTCTCTTGCCTGAATTCCTCTGCAGCTGTCTCCTTGCTGATGGCTTGTCTATCCATTTTCTTTTCTTTTCTTTGAGTCTGGGTATGGATTTCACTGTATGTAAATTTCACTTCCAGAAAGATTTTATTTTATAGAGCGATCACTCGGAGGAGGAGTGGCATGACAGGGGACAGTGAGCCCAGTGGCTGCCTTTTGGTGCTTCTTAAAAACTTTTAACAGCACGTGTATAAATTACAGTTAAGGTCTTTAAGTTGTGAAAAATAGACCAGGCGAGGTGGCTCACGCCTGTCATCCTAGCAGTCTGGGAGGCCGAGGCGGGAGGATCGCTCAAGGTTAAGAGTTCAAAACCAGCCTGAGCAAGAGCAAGACCCCGTCTCTACTAAAAATAGAAATTAATTGACCAGGTCGGGCTCGGTGGCTCACGCCTGTAATCCTAGCACTCTAGGAGGCCAAGGCAGGTGGATTGTTCGAGGTCAGGAGTTCGAAACCAGCCTGAGCAAGAGCGAGACCCCGTTTCTACTAAAAATAGAAAGAAATTAATTGGCCAACTAATATATATATAGAAAAAACTAGCTGGGCGTGACGCCACAGCACTCACTCTAGCTTGGGCAACAAAGCGAGACTCTGTCTCAAAAAAAGAAAAAAAAAGAAGAAATTAATTGACCAACTAAAAATATATATACAAAAAATTAGCTGGGTGGACTGCGTGCCACGGCTGCAGGCAGTCGCTGCGTACAAGCGCGCAACCCTCTGGGATGCTCAGGGTTGCAGACATTCGAACCGTTTGCAGGCTACAGGTGCATAGGACACGCCTGTTATTATTACTTTTTATTCTATTCTATTTTCCTGACTTCCGTGTCTTGGGGTGTCCAGCTGCATTAGCAAAGAGGCGGAGCCCATGGGGGAACGTGCCCTGCAGCCGGGCACTGGCTTTCGCTCTTCTCGCACCTTTCGTCACCCGCTGTCCCGCCCCTGGCTACATCGCAGACGCACTGGCCGGCGATTTCAGCAGGCAGGGAGGGGGGGGCACCCGGCGGCGGGGCGGGGCCGGCGACAGGGCTGGGCGCGGGGCCGGGCTGCGCGCTGCCAAGTGCCAGACCGCGTTTTGCTCCGGAGCGAGCGCGGACCGACGGAGCGCGTCGTAGACGCGTGGACCGACGGAGCGCGGTGTAGACGCGTGGACCGACGGAGCGCGGTGTAGACGCGCTGACCGACGGAGCGCGGTGTAGACGCGCGGACCGACGGAGCGCATCGTAGACGCGGTGGGACCGACGGAGCGCGGTGTAGGAACGCGCGCAGGCTTGGGGGGACGCGCGCGCTGCAGCGGGGGCCGACCGGCGACAGCGCCATGGACGGCGCGGGCAACGCGACCCTGCCGGGCAAGGCAGCCTGTCGCCGCCGCCGGGCCCCGCCGGCCCCGGGCCCGCGCTCGGTCTCCAGCCGGGTCCGCGCGCCGGCCGGGCGCCCGCCTTCTGGGCGTCGCCCTGAGCGCGGGACTGGACGCGCTGCGGGCCGGGCCTGTGCGCGGCCATGGCTCGGCCTGGCTGCGCCGTGGACGCGGCGCGCTTCGGGGCGGGTGCGGCGGCCGCTGGGCGCGCTGCTCGCGGCGCTCGCGCAGTTCGGCGTCCTGCCGCTGCTCGCCTTCGCGCTGGCCCGCGCCTGCCGCCTGGACGCGCCGGCCGCGCTCCGCGTGCTTGCTGTGCGGCTGCTGCCCCGGCGGCAACCTGGCCAACCTGTGGCGCTGCTCGTGGACGCACATGAACCTCAGGTGCGCGCGGCGGCCGGACCCAGGGGACGGGCGGGCGTGCACGGGGCAGGCAGAGGGGAAGGACGGCGGCGGGTGGCACGGGGCACGCAGAGAGGGAGGAGGCGGTGCACGGGGCATCGCAGAGGGAAGGGGGAGGGGGGACGGGCGGTGGCACGGGGCCGCAGAGGAAGAGGTGGGGGGACGGGCGGTGGCACAGGGCACGCATGAGGGGAGGGAGAGGGGAGGACGGGTGGCACGGGCAGCAGAGGGGAAGGGGAGGTGGACGGGGGTGCACAGGGCACGCAGAGGGGAGGGGAGAGGCACAGGCTGGGTGGCAGAGGCACGCAGAGGGGAAGGGAGGGAGGACGGGCGGGTAGCACAGGGCACGCACAGGGGAGTGGAGAGGGATGGACGGGTGCACGGGGCATGCAGAGGGGAAGGGGAGTGGACGGCGGGTGCACAGGGCACGCAGAGGAGGGGAGGAGGATGGACGGGTGGCACGGGCATGCAGAGGAAGGGGAGTGACGGGGCCGGGTGGCACAGGCACGCAGAGGGTGAGGGGGAGAGGGATGGACGGGTGCACGGGGCATGCAGGAGGGAAGGGGAGAGACGCGGGTGGCAGACACGCAGAGGGGAAGGACGAGACGGACGAGTGTGCGGTGGCAGGAGAC